GTAATGATATATATATATAAGGTTGCTGAGTAATATTCCATTGTGTGTATGTACCACATCTTTTTAATCCAGTCATCTACTTTTGGGCATTTGTGTTGTTTCCATGTCTTTCCAACTGTAAATAAAGCAGCAATAAACATGACCCCCAGAAGCTTCTAAGTGAGCTGGAGAGTCCCCAAAAGCTCTATAAAGGGAACTCAGCACCCTAACTCCGGACTCCTCCCTTGGACTGCCTTCCTTGTCAGGAGTCATTTTTGTAAGAAATCTGAGTTTGCTAATCTTCAGTCCCTGATGTCAGTGATTATTCCTTCATTGCTTGGACACAAGAACCCATTTGGCCAACAATAAGGGCTGGTATTGTGTGACGCCAGCTTCTATACTAAGTAATTTGAGGCACTCTCTCTTTTCATCATAATGACAATCATGTCAGGTAGTACAAAGTTCCCAAAACTTTACTGTCAAGTTGTAAATCTGTAATAAATATTTAAAATGTTTCCTCTTGATTTTCAAAGTTCTTTGTGACCCAGCCCCCTTTTTCTCATCCGAACCAGTTCCTCATAATGCCCCAACAGGACCCCAGGCCCTTGACTGACACTCTAACCATCAGCACTGTTATCCAAATCCTTCTCAAAACTCCAGGTTCTGTCCAGGTGCTCACGTCTTCAACATACATACTGACCTATTCATTACACACTGATATTTTCCTTCAGTCTAGTTCTTTTGACTCAGTTAGCTTAAAATATTCTAGGAGGAGGTCATGTGTATTGAACTTATTTTTCATTTCCTCTCAATGTCCAGTATATTGGTGTGTGAGAAACAGATACTTAAAGCATGTTGAAGTAATAAATAATGAATAGGATGAACATGTGGAGGGAGCATGACCTTAACTGGAGAGAAGAGAGGGTATGTGTGTGCTCACACTGAGAAACAGTTACCAGTAAGGACTAAAAATAGGGCCCTCCCTGGTGGCACAGTGGGTTAGGGCGCAGCACTGACAAGTTGGCCACAGCCACTTCTGTGTGAGTTCAATCCCTTGCCCCAGAGGTGACCCACATTGTGCAGTAGACCTCTCCTGACCCGCCAGCTGCTCCTGAGCAGTGTACTTTGCTGATCTACCTGTTCTGCTCCCTACTCTGTCTCTGGTGAATCCTCTTACCCCTCCACCTCTGGCCTGTACCTCAGTTCTGTATGTATAAATATTTTTAAGAAAAAAAAAGACCTAAAAATGCCTGAAATCAACAAAACTGAAACTGTGATTGTGTTTAAAACTATATATTGATTAGCCATCCAGATTATGGACTCATTAATGCTAGTTTGAGAATGATCCCTTTTGCCTGGGTATTATTTAAGCACAACAAGCACATGCTAAGGACAAGAAGCCCTAAAACCACTGGCACCCCTTTTCTGCAGAACCCTTGCCTTGTGACATTGTTCTTAATGTCTCAGCACACAAATGTGTTCCCCTGGCTGTCCTACACAGGTATATATGGCTGCCAATTTAGAAGCCATTCCCTAATTCTCAATGAAGAGACCTATCCTGGAAGGTTGTAATGAGGTGTGATGAGATACGGAGAATTTTTAATTCCTAGATACATCCAACTACCATGTAGCCCAGCAATTGCCCGACCTGGTACCCATACTGTCTTTTCCAGGTTAACATTGTTAAGTTTAGCAGACAGCCCACAGACTTTGCTCTTTTATTGCCATATGCTCCTGTGGTATGTACACTGAAAAGTGCAACCACTCGTTGTCAGTACACCTCCTGCTTTTCCATCCAAGCCCAAACCTCCCACCCAGATGGTGCCATTTCGTTTGAAATACGTGCAAATTTTTGTAAAGCAGTGTAGATGAAATGAAAAAAATGCTGTCATGTTCTAGTCTACCAAGAAAGCTTATCTGTTTTTTTCACCAGTGGACACACAGTAACTAAAAGGACTAGCTACCCATTCATTTGGTTAAATATAAGCAATACCTGGTCATTTAACCACACTGTCTTTGAGGATGAGGGTCTTAAAATCATGTGTTCACAGCATCCATTCCAGAGTAGTACAGAAAGTACTGTCATAAACATTGATTGAACCCACAGTTTGATTTATTACTTTAATTACACCTGCTAAGTTTTCCCTTTCAGTGGCATTGGCTGTGAGCATGTGTCTTGCAGAGCGACAGGAGGATGGCCTTGCTCTGCTGCCCCTTGTAGGTCCTCCTGCTGAGTCCTACCTCTGCTGACTCTAGAAGAATCATTTAGCTTGCCTGAGTCTAACTTCCTTCAGCAGACTCAGGAAAAAAGCATAAATCTCCCAGGCAAACTCTAACAAATTCTTTTAAAAAAACATTTATTTATGCATACAGAATTGGGGTACAGGTCAGAGGTGTATGGGTGGTGAGAAGATTCACCAGAGACAGAGTGGGGGAGCAGAACAGGCAGGTTAGGAGAGGTCTGCCACACCATGTGGGTCACCTCCAGGGCGGGGTTCGAACTTGCACTGAAGTGGCTGCGGCCAGCTTGCAGTACTGCGTCCTTATCCACTGTGCCACCAGGGAGGGCCTCCCGGGAAAATTCTAAGGGCAGTTGTTGTGAGAATCAAATTAAATACATGGAAGTCAAAGTGTTGGACTTTGTGCATTTTAAGGACCTGGAGAGATGTGAGAATGCCAGGACTGGGATCAAGTTCTCATGTTTGAATTCCTGAAATGCTTTTTATAGCTGCCCTTAGAATTTGGAGGTCAGAGGTCATCTTGTAATGCATGTTTAAAATATAAAAACATTTTAAGAATATATTTGAACAGATGGCTTTCCCTTCTTTATTAGAAACATTTGACTCTTTGTGAGATTAATTGCTTAGCTATCTGTGCTTTTATAAAGTCTATGCCCTGAGCCTTGGCCGAAAACTCAGGACATTTTATGACATTTGAGTAAAAACTGCAAAGAAAAATACATTTTAAAATAAACATTTCACTCTCCAGATAAAAACACTTTTTATTTGATGCTCCATCAAATAGGAAACCTAAAGCTATTGACTGATACCTGTCTTCACAGTGCCTTCCCACAACTCTGTTTCCTAACAAAAGGAAGAGAGAGGAGGGTGCATGAAGGAATAACGGGAAAGGACAGTGGGCTCTGAAAGTGAAGTGTGAGCCCTTGTATAAGGTCAGTCGAGTCAGGTCATCTGCTGCCTTTGTCTCACACACCCCTGGTTACTACCAATTACCTTTCTTTCATAGGAACTGAAACTCAAGACTAGACATTCAGAATCAGAATCACATTAGACCACACAGTTTCCAAGAAAAGCCAAGCTTGTTCTATCACCACATGTTAAAAACTGTCTTATGTGGGGAAATTTGTATTTACAACTGATACTAAATTTTTTTAAGATTTATTTATTTATTCATACAGAACTGGGGTACAGGCCAGAGATGTGGAGGGTGAGAGGATTCACCAGAGACAGAGTGGGGAGCAGGACAGCAGACAGACAAAGTACACCTGCTGAGGGGAGCAGCGGGCAGGTCAGGAGAGGTCTGCCTCGCCATGCGGATCTCCTCTGGGGCAGGTGGGGATTGAACTCATGCGGAAGTGGCTTAAGCTTCTTAGTGCAGTGCTTTAACCCGCTGCGCCACCAGGGAGGGTCAATTGATACTGATTTTGTAGACAAAACAATCGTTTTTCACAAGGCTGCTCCTTATAGATGACCTTTAATAAAATCAAGGCCACAACATTGAAGAAACTTTGTTCCTTGAAGGTCTATGAGGCATAGCTGAATTAATTGTGATTAGGTCTACACATCTGTGGAAAGTAATTAACATATGGTTTTCCCAGTAAGTCTTAGCATTTGGCCTCTGAAAACCTGCTGATAGTGTGGATATTTTTTCTATGCCCTGTGGATCTCTGAGGAAGCATTCTTTAAGTAAGACAATCTCTTAATTTTTAGCTGAAATGGAGTTGTTTTAAAACTTTAGAAATAAATGGAAAGAATAATTTAGGTTTAAAGACAGCCTTTCTGACCTACTTTAAAAATTACTATTCCCCCATTTGAAGATCAAACAAATTGTGTATTTTTAAATGTCTCTCAAGATGAGTGTAAAGAAAAAGAACTGTCCCCTACTGTACCAGATTACATTTATTGCTATTACATGTGTAAGAGTAGAATTCTATCTGTTTTGTATACATAACACATTTAATATTAAGAACTTGTGTCATGCTGGCAAACAAAACACAAGAAATTTGTTTGTATTTTAGCAGTTGCTGTTGGAATGCATTTTGAAAGAAAAAAAATTATTTTGTATTTTCCAAAAGACATTGTAATTGCAGTGATGGTTTTCTCCAAGTTACCCTGAGTTCAGAATGTTTAATTTTTGTTTTGCAAAGTGAAAGTGGTGCAGTGGGTTAAAGCCCAGCACTAAGAAGTGAAAGCCACTTTAGCATGAGTTCAATCCCCGCCTGCCCGGGTGGTGACCCACATGGAGCGGCAGACCTCTCCTGACCCGCCCACTGCTCCCCTCAGCAGTGTACTTCATCGATCTGCCTGTTCTGCTCCCCACCCTATTTCTGGTGAATCCTCTCACAGCCTCTGCACCTCTGGCCTGTACCCAGTTCTGTATGCAAAATAAATAAATCTTTTTTAAAAAAAAGTATTTTAAAAATGCTTAGAAACCAACAACTCTGTGTAGGAGTAAAATGGTCACAAAAAATAAATAAATAAAAAAGACTTGTATTATATGCAAGTCTTTTGAAATTATCTGTTTTTATTCACCTATTTATCTATTTTTGCTATTTACTTTCATTAAAATTATGTCTTCTGAGAAAATCACTAGAGTAAGAGATTTTTGTCCAATTTTCTATGCCTGGCTAGCACAGTTCTAAAATAGCTTTTTTATATGTTAGACACTCAATAAATGCATAAAGAATAGGTGAAGGAAAAGCAAATTCAATAATCCAACACATTTATCGCATAGATTTGATGTGAAGATGAGGAGCAATGATCTTGTTTCTTGTCTTTTAGATACACAAAAATGAAGACGGCTACTAACATTTATATATTCAACCTGGCTTTGGCGGATGCATTAGTTACTACCACCATGCCATTCCAGAGCACTGTCTATTTGATGAATTCCTGGCCATTTGGGGATGTACTGTGCAAGATTGTCATTTCCATTGACTACTATAACATGTTTACCAGCATATTCACCTTGACCATGATGAGTGTGGACAGATACATTGCTGTGTGCCATCCGGTCAAGGCTTTGGACTTTCGCACACCCTTGAAAGCAAAGATCATCAATATTTGTATTTGGCTCCTGTCTTCATCTGTTGGCATATCTGCAATAGTCCTTGGAGGAACCAAAGTGAGAGAAGGTAAGGACAGTCATTTTCATGAGTATAACTTCTAATTATATAGACTTGTTTGGAAGTGTATCAGACACACATCTAGGGGAAAAGTCAAAAGCTAGTAGAAATACAACGCCTAAATCCATGAGGATGATAATAACATTTTTGTGTTCTTTTCCACATCAAAACATGGAATAGAATAATGATATTATCCAAATACAGACCCCCAACCTACTACCTCTTCAAGAAATGCTTACCAGAATCTGGAAAGTTGAAGTAAGGAACTACAGGCATGTGGGCTTTAAGATAAAATTCCACTAAATCCTGACAATACCAAGATAACACCTAGTCACTCCTTTTCTCTCTTAAAAAGGCCCTAAATCATTAGAAACACACTACTTACTCTTCCTTAGGGGTAACCTCCATGGCACTGTCGTAACAACTTCATTGGGCAGGATAACATTCAAACTTGGGTTTGTAGATGGTTCATAGATGACCAAACCTTTAGGCTTTGAACATATTGGTTCCTTAACCCACAGAAACAGGATACTTGTCCTTTTCCCTAAATTCCAAAGACAATGGTTTTCACCCTAGGCTGCACATTGGAATTACCTGGGTAATTTATAAAGTAGTGATGCCTGGAGGGTATGACTGAAATTGCCTGAAGCACCATCTGGGCGTGAAAGGTTTTGAGATCTCAGGTGACTCTAACCTACCACCAATGAGAAAGGTCACTGAATGGAGTCAGGTTTTTTGGTTTGCAGCACAGATTCTGGATGCAAGCTTCCTGGGGTTGAATCCTGATTTCAACATTTATGAGCAGTATCACTTTGGAAATATGCTTAGACCTTGGTGTCTCAATTTCTCATCTGCAAAGGTGAGAATTATCATTCTGGGTTTGTTTCACCAGTAAAAGATAAGTCTGTGAAATTATCTTTGGTCTTAATAGCAATTCATTTGGGGGGAGGAATTAGAAAGATCACTTTGGACTTTTAAAGTGCTATTTATTGCCTTAGAAGTTGTCTAAATGGTAGTTTATTAGAGAGGTTCATAACTATGAGTACACATAATTGAATATGTCTAGCAGGAACTTTCCAGGTCAGAGTAAAAGGGCAGTTGCAAAATCATAGCTTATCTTGCAAGGTCCACATTTTTAGTGGAGCATAATCCTTTTCTTTTGAAGTTATAAAATAAACTTGTAGCATAGGTTTAAAGCTATAATACTTAGTACATTTTAAGAAATACCCAATTTTATCAGAGAAGCATTTCTGAATATGATTAATTGCACACAGATTGTGTTTCTTCATGCATATAACAAACATAAAAGTGCAAGAAACTCCTCTGAGTCCTAGGTGTCCATAAATAGTAAGATTCAGGTGGAGATGCCACAGCAACACCGTAGAAAAACAGACTAAATTATATGAAAAGATGGATGATTTAGCTCAGGGCAAAGACCTGATTTTTATATCTCACCACCACACTCTTCTAATCACTGTCAGAAAATGACATACTGGAAGAAATTGATTTCAGTTAAAATTGTTGAAAGAGGAAATGAATATAGATGTTATTTTTCTATAAAGGAATTGCTATTGATGAACAGGTGTAGATGCAGTGGAAGAAAACATTTATCAGTGTCGGCAGGTTAATGGGAGCAACAAATATGGAAAAAATGGGAAAAATCAGCCACTATGTCTTCTGTTTCTAAATCAGAAAGTTTGTTTATGTGAATGAAAGGTTGACCCACATTACCCAGTGTGCTCCTGAGGGAGTATTGCCTCACAGTTCCTGTCAAGCCTAGATGACAAAAAGGAGCATTTTACATAATTGTTATACACTAAATCAGGACTGACGGTATTGGGTGTCCGCAGTCACATGTGTATGGAGAAAGCTCTCTGAAAGTAGCAGACTACTTTCAGAAAGTAGCAGACTTACTTTGTGCTACCAACCGGTAGCACAAATTCTGGACTCAAACTGCCTGGGATTGAATTTTGATTTCATCATTTATGGACAGCATCAGTTTGGAAAGCCTTAGACCGTGGTGTCTCAATTTCTCATCTGCCAAGCAGGGATATAAGTACCCACCTCCTAGTGTGTTTTCTAGATTAAGCCAGTGAATGTGTGGGAAGTTGGCAAAGGGCCCAGTGTCTGGTGTGTACTCATGTGAGTTTAACATGATTTTCTGCTGATTGTTTATGTTTAGCCATGTTTTGTGGATTTGTTCAGAAAAATTTCACTTCATGAGCATAAAATATTAAATATAGCATTTTGTATACTATACATTTGTGTACTATTCATTTTGGAATTCATAGTCTGCCTATGACTATGATAGCTAGGAATGAATCATTATAATAACTAAGAACAGAAACAATTATTGTTAACAAAAAGAATACTCACAAGGGAAACTTTAGTTTAGATATTAGAACTAACTCTGTAATTAAAACAGCCATGCAGCACTGGAACATGTGACCAGAGAAAAATTATGACCCTCCAATAGTAATATAAAATGAAAAAAAAAGACTTTTTTTTAGATCTGTGAAACTATAACCCTCTTTAGACAATAGGCCTGTCTGACACATCCCAAAGATTCCTCCTGCTTTATAATTATTTTTTGTGTGGATGAAAAAACATCAAACATAAGATCTACCCTCTTACAAAGGTGCAAGCACTGTGTAGAGTGTTACTATCGGACCTATGCCCGACAGTAGATCTTCAGAACTTGCTTACTTGTATAACTGAAGCCTTTTACTATTTGGACATCACCTCCCATTTCGCCCTCCCTTCCATGCCTGGAAACCACCAGTCTGTTCACTGTATGATGATTTTATTAGAGTCCACATATAAATGAAATCATACAGTACTTGTCTTTATGTGTCAGGCACATTCCATCTAGCATAATACCACACGGTATATCTATTTCACAGTTCCTTTATTTGTTCATTCATCAATGAACATTAGGTTGGTTTCATATGTTGGCTATTGTGAGTACTGATGTTAAGTTTAGGAAGGCAAACATCATTGGAGATCCTAATTTCAATTTCTTTGGAAAAATACCCCAGAAGTGGAATTACTAGATCATCTGCTATCACTATTTTTGATGTTATAAAGATCTGTATTAGTCTCTATACTGGATGCATTAATTTATCTTTCTAACTTCACCAATAATGTACCAAGTTTTCCTTTTCTCTACATCACTGTCACCACTTACTTTGCTTCTGTGAATAACTGCCATCCTAACAGGTGTGAAGTCATCTTGCAATGGTTTTGATATGCATTTTCCTGATGATAGGTGATGATAAACACCTTTTCATGCCATTTTCACTTCTTTACATATTTTGATTCTTTTTATAACTTTCTCTTGCCTAATTACACTAGCTAAAAATTCCAGTACTATGTTGAATAGTAATAGTGAGAGTAGATATCCTTGTTTTATACCTGCTCTTAGAGGAAACGCTTTCAATTTTTAACCATTGAATATATTAGCTGTATATTTGATAAATGTGACTTTTATTTTTATATTTAATTTATTTATTTTTATATATTTTATGTTAGGTGTAGTCCCCATAGAATTTCCACTATAATTCACCAAAGACTATCACCTTAGTTCCTTATGCTCTTTCTGCCTTCATTTTGTACCCTCTCACTCACCCCTCCCCTGCAGAATGTCTCTGATTTATAGTTGTCTGATAATTTTTGTTTAGTTTTGTTGTATTTTTTTAATTGTTGTTTCCCCTCCTGATTCTTTATTTGGTTTCCCTGTATTACTCCCATAAGTGAAACCATCCACTATTTTTCTTTTTCTTTCTAATTTCACTGAGCATAATCCCTCTTAATTCCATCCATGTTGCCTTAATTGGCATTTTACACACACACACACATATTTGCTGAGTAATATTCTACTGTGTATATATATATATATATATACCACATCTTTTTGATTCAGTTATCTATTTTGGGGCATTTAGTTTGTTTCCAAGTCTTACCCATTATAAATAGTGCTGCAATAAAAATAGGGGTACATCTGTTATTTTGAATTAATGTTTTTGTGTCTTTTGGGTAGATCCTTAAGAGTGGAATTTCTGTGTCAACTCCATTTTTAGTAATCTGAGAAAACACCACACTCTTTCCATAGTGGTTGGAATAATTTTCACCACCTCCTCACCAGCATTTGTTGTTAGCTTTCTTACCATGTTCCATTCTCACTGCTGTGAGGTGGTACCTCATTGTGGTTTTGATTTGTATTTCCCTGACTATGAGGGTGTTGAACCCTTTTCATTTCATCTTTGGAGAAGGTCTTTTGAGTTCTACTGCCCATTTTTTTTTACTGGATTATTTAAAAATGTCATCTTTATTAGTTGAGGTATGTTTTATCTGTTCTCATTGCTTGGTGATCTTTACAGAAATGGCTGTTAAGTCTTAAAAAGCTTTCTTAGCATCTATTGATCTGACCATATGATTTTTACCTTTCCTTTTGTTGATGTGGTCATTTATGTTGAATGATTTCCAGATAACTGAACCATCTCTGTTTCCTTGCAGTACATTCTACTTGCCCATGGTGTGTGATCCTTTTAATTTAAGATTGAATTAGTTTTGCTAATATTATATTGGGGATATCTGTATTTGTGTTTATCAGATACTGGCATGTGGTTTTATTTATTTATTCATTTATTTATTTACTTATTACTGTCCTTGTTTTTATTTAGTATCAGAGAAATGTGGACCTCATAGGTTTGGAAATATTCTATGCAATAGTAAATACCATGTATATTTTGATACTCCTTCATTTGTGCATATATATTTTTAGCCATGTCTTCCTGATATATTTGCCCTTTATTTATGTCTTCCTGATATATGTGTCCTTTATTATATAAAGTGTTAACATATCACATCATTTAAGAGCCTCACTGGTGGTGCGCGGATGAAGTCTCATCAGCTACCAGCAATCACTGTAGCACTAGTTCGATCCCTGGCTGAGAAGCTGACCCACGTGGTACAGCAGAACTCTCCTATCTCCCCTGCTGCACCCCTCA